CAGAAATGGGTGCTATCACCAAATCAAATAAGATGGCTGTTTTGTGGTACTCTCTGGACAATAGAATTATTAACAGTAACATCAAAAGAGAAAGCCTGATATCATTTTTGATAGAAGCCTGTCCTTTAGGGATCATGTGAAGGCAGTGACGGTAGAATATCAAAAAGGACGCAATGCTCTCAAGATTATGGCAGCAATGGACATGGAACAAAGAATTTTGTTCACAATGTTTCAGCATGTGATGCTTTTGGTGATAGATTATGGTCTTGAAATGCTCACCATATGATACAGTTAACTGATGAAACTTGAACGAATACAGAATGAAGCTTTGCGAGTAATTCTGGGATGTACAAGAGATAACCGGGTAGTGTGTAAGCGATACATACTTGCACTGCCTGTTATTGCAGAGAGGCTAAAAGTTCTGCAAGCTAAGTCATATCTCAGACTAGCTGCAGACAAGAAGCACCTCCTGCATGAAATCCTGGGTAGAGCTAAGGGTCACAGACTGAAAAGAGGAAGGTCTTAGATGGCGCTGAGGACACAATTAGACATGTGTGCAGGCTTGATAAATTTTGGCAAGGAGAGGAATGGGTCAAAGTGTCCGAGCAAGTTTCTGACTAGTGTAGGATTCATGACAATTCTCGTGCAGGTGATGTGATTATCTCTACAGATGGCTTTGAACTGAGGGGCAGACAAAAATATATGGGGGTTCCAAGCAAAAGCTAATGCACATCTCTTAGTGCAAGAAATCCTGACATATGATATCATAACGTCTAGTTTGAGAATGGAGGTGGAGGCAGTCACTGCTGCCTTCCGCTGGCTTGAGAATCAGCTGTACACACATGCCGTGATTGTAATTGACTCACAGACCATGTTGAGAAAGGTGGAAACAGGCATGCTTTGTGCAGAGTGGCCAACATGACTTCAGAGGTCCCGGGTAGTTAGTATCCTTTGGAAATTTTCTCCAGGTCATGCCAGTGTGTTTGGAAATGAGCAGGCGAATAGACTGGCTGGTTCTGCATCACTTGGTGGTGAATTGACGTATGACAAGCTAGAAGATGTGAGGGCCCTTTTGGAGTGAGTGAACATTGTGGAGGCACAAACAGATGATTATTGTCTGAGAAGAATGGCACCGTGGGGAGTTACCAGGGGATCCAGCCAACGCTCAACGCTCAAGGAAAGGGGAAACGGATAAACAAACAGTTACTAGTACTCTTGACTTGCTGCTGAAATTGGGACGGAGCGCCTGTGGGAGTATCCCGAGTGCTGTGATGTTGATTCTTAATTCAACATTACATATTATTACTATATATTACATGCAGTAAACCTTATAATCCATAGATGGCACAGTTTGTTAATTATAAATTTTAACTTATCATTTTATTGGCTGATCACAGTGAAAAATATATAATTTAACAGAGAATGGCACACAGTAAACAGTTCAACTGAATGTACAATCTTATTGATTGTAAGAAAACCAAAAGAAAAAGGGGTTAAAAAAAAAACAGTGTTAAGATTATTACGGTAAAATAAAAAAAAAAATAAAAAATTATAAATGTAAAAAAAAAAAAGCATGCTTTAAACTCTGAAATATGATTATATTGAAAATAGCTTTTACATTTTTTAATGCCATTTATTCGTTATTTTCTACAATGCTAGTGGTCATGCAACTGGTTATCACAAAAGTTTGTTGTTATTAAAAACACAAGATATTTTAAACAGATTTCTATAACTTTCATATTTAGTTTACCAACATTGTAATATCAGTGTCAAACATGGATATTCTCAATAAAAAAAACAAAAGAAAATCGAAACAACAGAAATGAAATGTCTTTGGTAAATCTTAAATATAACTAGAAAAGACAGAATCAGAAATTATGATATTAGGAAAGAAGTTACGATGGAACCAGTACTATACTAAACCTAGAGGCAGTAGATCAAATGGTTTGGACATGTATTAGGAGTACTGCCAGACAGTGCAACAGAAAGAGACCTGCCACTTAGACATAATGGAAGCAGAGCAGAGGTCGACCACGCAATAGATGGAATATCAGAGGTCATGAATACCAGTATCTATGTAGCACATACCAAGGCAGGCACCCGGTGCCTCTTCAAAACCTGATGCTGAAAGGCAGGACTAGAGAATAAGGTCTCCTTGTGATCTAAAACCCTGGGCTCTCAGACAGGAGACCAAGGCTCAAATCCTTGTTAAGCTGATGAATGTTTGTTGGGGTTTAGGTCAAAAATAAAACTCCTAACCTGCACAAGGCTCATGACTATGTTGGTCCTTCCAACCCTAACAAAACTATGATGGTCATACCAACCCTACAATGACTATGTTGGTCCTTCCAACCCTAACAAGACTATGTTGGTACCTCCAACCCTAACAAGTCTATGTTGGTCCTTCCAACCCTAACAAGACTATGTTGGCCCTTCCAACCCTGACAACACTATGCTGATCCTTTCAACCCTAACAAGACTTTGTTGGCCCTTCCAACCCTAACAAGACAATGTTGGCCCTTCCAACCCTAACAAGACTATGTTGGTCCTTCCAACCCTAACAAGACTATGTTGGTCCTTCCAACCCTAACAAGACTATGTTGGCCCTTCCAACCCATCAACACTATGTTGGTCCTTCCAACCATAACAAGACTATGTTGGTCCTTCCAACCCTAACAAGACTATGTTGGTCCTTCCAACCCTAACAAGACTATGTTGGCCCTTCCAACCCATCAACACTATGTTGGTCCTTCCAACCCTAACAAGACTATGTTGGTCCTTTCAACCCTAACAAGACTATGTTGGCCCTTCCAACCCATCAACACTATGTTGGTCCTTCCAACCCTAACAAGACTATGTTGGTCCTTCCAACCCTAACAAGACTATGTTGGTCCTTCCAACCCTAACAAGACTATGTTGGTCCTTCCAACCCTAACAAGATTATGTTGGTCCTTCCAACCCTAACAAGACTATGTTAATCCTTCCAACCCTAACAAGACTATGTCGGTCCTTCCAACCCTAACAGCACTATGTTGGTCCTTCCAACCCTAACAAGACTATGTCGGTCCTTCCAACCCTAACAAGACTATGTTGGTCCTTCCAACCCTAACAAGACTATGTCCGTCCTTCCAACCCTAACAAGACTATGTTGGTCCTTCCAACCCTAACAAGACTATGTTGGTCCTTCCAACCCTAACAAAACTATGTTGGTCCTTCCAACTCTAACAAGATTATGTTGGTCCTTTCAATGCCCTTAACACTATGTTGGCCCTTCTAGCTCTAACAAGAATATGTTGGTCCTTCCAACGCTAACAACACTATGTTGGTCCTTCCAACTCTAACAAGACTATGTTGGTCCTTCCAACTCTAACAAGACTATGTTGGTCCTTCCAACCCTAACAAGACTATGTTGGCCCTTCCAACCCTAACAAGAATATATTGGTCCTTCCAACCCTAACAGGACTATGTTGGCCCTTCCAACCATAACAAGACTATGTTGGTCCTTCCAACCCTAACAAGACTATGTTGGTCCTTCCAACCCAAACAAGACTATGTTGGTCCTTTCAACCCTAACAAGACTATGTTGGTCCTTCCAACCCTAACAGGACTATGTTGGCCCTTCCAACCCTAACAAGACTATGTTGGCCCTTCCAACCCTAACAAGACTATGTTGGCCCTTTCAACCCTAACAAAAAAGTGGCAAATATAACAGTAAAGTCAGAGCGCTTTAAAAATTGCTGTGATCAATAAAGTGGCAGCAGCCTTTACTTCCAGGATATTGCATAGCTTTTGATTTAGAAAACAAAACATCTGTAACAATAAATGAAAGAAAGACTACAAATTGGCACATGGATAATAAGGAATGAATAAAACATGGCAAAACTGCACATGGATACTGTTTTAAATGAATCAAATTGAGAGGATGGTGCAGTAAAAATGAAAACCCCAAATGACAAAATTGCATTTTGATAATGTTAAAGGAATGACAAATTATACTATGGCATATGGATAATGATAAGTGAAAAACAAATGATGCTGTAATAGAGTAAAAAAACACAAAAACTCACATCTAGAAAACTTTATAATATCAGATAAATCAACGATGCTAATCAAATGGAATGCATTGAAATTGGCTCAATGAGCTGGAATTAAACAGAATGAATTAACCATGTAACTAAGTGTGTGTACATGCTACATAAAGAAAATACTTCATAGGCGCGAGCACAGGTGACATAAAAAAAAAAAAGGAGATGACATTATAAATATGTTTAAAAAAAAAAAAAAACTATATCAGAACCAAGCCCAGCATTTTTTGGACGGTTGTAGTTTCCTTAAGTAAATTTACTTTCAGTAGTTTGCCGTTACCACTGAACAGTCAGCTCTCGGTACCAATGTTGAAGCCAATGCAAGATGGTCTGCTGCCAAATCGCCTGGGATCGAACCCAACACCCCAACATAATGAAGCACTTTCTCAACACCTAAGCCACAGACACTGACACATTATAAAAGGATGAATTATTTCTTCAGTTGCACTATAGATTAAAAAGTAATAAAAGTGTAAAAGGCTTTTATTACTGTGCAGCTAACATACATTTTAGTTAGTCTGCCAATTTGGAATGTTCACACATATAAAAACAAAAATAAAATGTATAAAAAAAGTCCATCACTGGACTGCGGTGTCCACCAGTGTCTGAAATTGAAAGTCCATTCTCAAATCAGGCCGGTGCCTTAGATGTGAACACACTTCATTTGGAGGCACCCAGTATGATTTAAGCTGTGTGTTATTTGACAGCAAACTGCCTTGCATTGACTTTGAGAGGGGTTTTGAGACCATTTAGAAGCAATGGCATAACTACTGAACATAAAATTGCCTAGTAGAACCAAAACAGACAAAAAAATGCTGGGGTTGGTTCTGCAACATGCTATAAAGAATACATAATTAACTAACTCAAATCAGAGATAAAGGTCACAGAAAAAAAAAAAGAAGAATTAATGTTATATTAATTCCAGTCAACATGTCTGTATTTTGGAATATACTGTGAAGCTTCATCCTCAACAGTTTCTTCATAGGCAAGAACACCAGCCAATCTCCTTGCAAGCTCAGAAGTGGCCACATCAGGCAGCTCAACAAGAGGATTGGCATCTTCAACACTTCCTTCCGACAGTCTCGATGGAAAGACGTTGATCCCCATTGATGCCCAGTGCCCCGTAAGGAGGAGATTATTATATGCACCAACTTTAAGTTCTATGTCTTTCTCAGATGCCCAAGCTGCAGGAGTCATACATACAAAAACAACATATCTCCATCTGTCTGGATGTTCTCTTCCTTTTACTGGTCTAGCATTTGCATGCAGGAGCCGAGAGTCCCACAATAACATACCACCCTTTGGACATGCAACACGCTTTCGATAGCATCCTCTTTCAGCAAACCACTTTAAATCCTCTTTTGAAACTTTGCCGCAACGAATCTTTTGTAATTTCTCCATAAAATCATCAAAGTGTTTATGTGACCCCTCAATGACCTCAAAAGTCCAGTCTTCCTCACTACAGTGTTCCAAGTATACAGAGCCCTGATAAGCATGCAGCCCTTCTCGGTCAGCAGACTGGTCACAATGAAGCCATGACTGATCTGGACTCCAGAACTCTTCCTGACCATTCTCTGGGGGACGACCAATGGCTACAGCATCAAAGCTTGTCAGCAGTTTATCAGTTTGCCAAAGCTGTTTTGAAAAACAACAATGAATATTAAAGATGTGATGAAAATAAGGATAATAACAAGATACTGAAAAAAAAAAAAAAAAAATAGACAGAAATGAGATGTCAAGGAAAAGCCACCAAATTAACCTTCTGAGACAAAGTTAAAAATGATATTATCAGACAAAATGTTGAAACAACACCATGCAGCAAATTCACAGAATTTGTGTAAAGTAAAAAAATAACGTAAAATTATATTTCGTTAGTGATTAGTGATTAGAAAAGATTATCATCACAGCCACTCCGAACAGATCCATAGGTGCTCCCATCTCCTCCTCAAAAGCTACACAAGTGTAAAGGTAGAGGTAAAGGTAAAGTTGGTAGATGTGAACCAGCGTTTTAAACGGTTATAAACCATAAGTGCTCTGCCACCAGTACGTACAGCTGATAAGAATTGTCCGCCTGTGTCGCCGTTCACACGTAACTCTGTAGCTACAGCGATGTTCCTCCATTTACCCCAGAGTGTCAACTCTGGTACCCATTTCCTAGAGGCTGGGTGAACCCCAGGAGCCGCCCGGTTTCGAACACCAACCGTGGGCTGCAGCGAGTCGCAGCTGGATTTCAAAGCCAGCCTCTTATCGACTGAGCTAACGCGGCCCCCACACAAGTTTAAAACGACTGATGACGCCAGTTCTGTGTTGGTTAATGAAACCTCTTGTCCCCTTAGTGAAATGTTCATTCATATCCTGGGCAGATATGAAGGTAACTGCACACACAGGAGAGTTTTGTAATGACTCAATCCACTGTTTGCATAACCAGCCTGCCTCGACCCAATGGATCATGCTCAAAGAATCATTCAGCACACACACGTGGGAATAGTCCTGTGATTCTAGCTACATAAAAGCTTGCGTCACTGCCATCAACTCCATCATCATGTTGCTGGTAGTCATGGAAAAGGCACCGTTGGCATCTTGAACTGTTCTGCCTGAAAGAGCAAGCTGTAGGGAATGACAGATAACAAGTTCTTGGGACTGATAGATACCACACTTTACGGAATGACAGATAACACATTCTAGGGACTGATAGATAATTCACTTTACAGAATGACATATAACACGTTCTACTGACTGGCAGATGACACATTCTAAGGTTTAAATATAACATATTCTAGAGAATGACTGATAAGACATTATAGGAATTGACAGGTGACACATTCTAGGGACTGGCAGGTAATTTATTTTGGGACGGGCAGGTAATTTATTCTAGGTACTGGTAAATAACTTATTCAAGGGAGTGAGAGATAATGCACTCTATAGACTGACAAAGAACTTATTCTAGGGAATGACAGATAAAACATTCTAAGGACTGATTGATAAAACATTCTAGGGACTGACTGATAACTTATTCTAGGGAATGACAGATAACACATTCTAGGGATTGGCAGATAATACATTCTAGGGACTGAAAAATAACATTCTAGGGAATGACAAATACAACATTCTAGGGATTGAAAAAAAAAAAACCCAATCTAATAAATTACAGATAACACATTTTATGGATTGGCAGATAACACTACAGTCCTGTTTAATTATAGTGATTATATAATAGCAGCAAAGACAACATATCTGATGTAAAGAAAACTAAACACAGTTGGAGACACTTCAAATACCTGTGAAAACACTGGATACGCTTTTAGTCGAACACACCAGGTTGGTTCCATGTGACCAATGCGATATCTCTGAATGAGGGAAAATTTACATTGAGGAAATGTTCCAGGTGGAAAAGTATTCAGCCACTTGCGATATGAAGCAATCTGATTATCACACTCAGCTTCTGTCATAACTCCAGGGACAACTGTGTACCCCTTCTCTTGAAGCTCATCTCTGTTCTCTTGTGTGATCATCCCTGTGCACTGAGAGAGGAAGAAAGAGAAAACACATGTCTGATTAAAAAGCTGAGTTTAGTAGAGTTAAGAGAGGGTCTCTATAGCAGAAAAGTAAAGCCATTTGCCTCATGGTTTGTATGCCATGGGTTTTTTCATAAATGCGTTATTCAGTTCAGAGTAAAGTTTAAAAAAAAAATAGGGATCACTGGAGCTATGGATTTTACACATTGTGCAACACTCTGCAGACAGAGACCAATACAACACAACCTGTTACTAGAAATATATATTGGTCAGAGACAAAATATACACATTTGCAGGACATCAAGAGCCTCTCTTTGCAGTGGTGAAATGTTGCAAGCTAGCTTGGTTTGGGCAAGTGGTGAGACATGAATCAATTGCAAAGACTGTACTTCAAGGAACACTGTGGGGTAGTCAAAGAAGAGGAGGGCAAAGAAGAATCTGGAATGACAACATCAAGAAATGGACAGGACTAAGTTATCATACACTTATTCATCAAGCAGAAGACAGAGAAAGATGGCAGGATTTATGTGCTAGTGCTTCTATCAATACATCTCGACACCTCAATACACATCAACAGATGACTCTAATGGATCAAGGGTTATGTTCTGTTCCTAGAAAACTCAATGGACAAGACAAGAGAGCTTCTGCATGGCTCTGGTATCAAACTAGCTGCTATTTCATTGACACTTCTGACAATCTCAGCCCTGGAGGGATCAATACGTCATCACAGCTATGTTTAATCTTTAATGTTATTTCATCACAGCTATATTTCATCTTTAATGTTATTTATTACTATAATTTTTTTTTTTAAATTTAACTTGTTTATAGGTCACCCCCTTTTCTGTTTCAAAAAGTCATCTTACTTATTTCATTTCATGTCCATTCGTTATTTCATGTCCATATGTCATTTCATGTCCACATGTCATTTCATGTCCACATGTCATTTCATGTCCATATGTCATTTCATGTCCACATGTCATTTCATGTCCATATGTCATTTCATGTCCACATGTCATTTCATGTCCATATGTCATTTCATGTCCACATGTCATTTCATGTCCATATCCCCCTCCCCCCCCCCCCCCCCCCCCCCCCCTTTCCATTTTGTATTTATTGGTTTGATGTTGACCTTGTTAGTTTAGAAGCCCTATTGTCTTGCCCACTGAGATTTTTGGTCACAGTTAGTGCTGTATTTAGTATTCTGTTGATAATGACTGCCAAAAACATTTGGTTGCATGTGTGTTTGGGTATTTTCCATTCCCTCCGTTGTGCTTTCTGGTTCTATTTAGCACTTCTTATTCATAACTGGTTTGATTATGTAGACACAGGATGTGAATGTTTTCTTTCTTCTCGGTTCATGGTGTTCTGGGAATCTTTTTGTAGCATTTTATTTCAAAAGTCTCTGTTTTCTCTCTTGCAATTTGCGAGATAATAATACCACAGATGCCATGATTATAGTTTTACTAATGTTATTTACCCCAGGACTGAGTGGTATATTTATGTTGAATGTTAAATACCGAATTAAGAATCAATGTCATAGCACTTGGGATGCTCCAAAAAGTGCTCAGTCTTCCAACTTCAGCAGCAAGCAAAGAGTTGCAATTCTGATGGTGCCAGTAACCGTGTGATTATATACCTGCCTTATCCTTACTCTGAATGTTGAGCGTTGGACAGATTTCCTGGTAACTCCTCACAGCGCCATTCTCCTCAGATGGCAATGATTCATTTGCGCCTCCGCACTGTTCACTCATTCCCAAAGGGCCCTCACAATACCTAACTTGTCATACATCAATTCACCACCAAGTGGTGCAGAGCCAGCCAGTATATCTGCCTGCTCATTTCTCAACACACAGGCATGCCTTGGAGAAAATATCCAAAGGATGCTAATTAGCCTGAAGTGATGCTTGCCTCTCTGCATCAAGCATGGCTGTTTTTACCTTTCTCAACATGCTCCGTAAGTCAGTAACAATCACGGCATGTGTGTAAGGTTTATTCTCAAGCCAGCAGAAGGCAGTGTAGTTAAGTTTAAGCGGAATATTTAAATATTATTTGTATTAAAATTTTTTTTTTATATAACATTGTTGAATAGTTAGAGAGGGTCAGCCTCACAAATAATCAGCAGTTTGTTAAAGTAGTAATAATAATAATAATAATTATGTTTAATTAAAAATTGACATTGCAGCAAATGGGGACATTCCCATAAGCACTCAGTTCCCATCTTCAGCAGCAAGTGAAGAGTTCTAGCTCTGATGGTGCCAGTAACTGTCTGACTGTATATCTGTCTCACCTTTCCCCTGAGTGTTGATTATCAGCCATATCCCATGTTTACTTCTTGCAACACCAATCTCCTCAGACCGCGATGATCCACCTGTGCCTCTGCACTGTTCACTCACCTCCATATAGCCCTATAATATCTATCTGGTCATGCATCAATTTATAATAATATAATTACAAGTAGTGATAATAATATAGTCAACGCAAGGAGTCTCAAGAAAGACACAAAACATCAACTGGTTTCAAATGACAGGATACATCTATTTGAACTCAAGAGTGACCCATACAGAGTGACCCATGCAAAGTGACCCATACAGAGTGACCCATACAGAGTGACCCATACAGTTGTCACACTGCCACTAACCCATTTTGTTTCAGTCTCCGCTTCTTCTTTCACCCTTAACAGGGTTGTTATTACATTGTATTGTGGTCTACAGCTAGGTAGTTGTGATATGTATATGATGCCCAGTGCATCAGTTTTCGGCAAGTTGTTGTTTAGGACATGCTTGTAAAGGCAGCAGGTCTGTCTCCTCCCTTTTTCCCAGTCAGTGGGTGAGTTGGGAGTTTTATTTTAATGTGGAGTTAGAAGTGCTGTTTATAAATGTGTTATTACTTCAACGTCAACTCCTTCCGTTTCATAGTCTTACTACATTAGGTCCTCGGACGTAGCCTATTATTTGGAGCTCTGTAACGACTTCATGGAGAATAATGAGTTATATTAAGAATGAAACTTAGTTAAACTAAACTACAGTATTGTAAATTGTATAAACACAAATCGACACATACATAACTTACAAAAAGCAAAGTTAATAATAATAATAATTTAAATGAAGAAATTTGCACAAGTTCTAATTTTGTCACTTAAACTAATTCACTACTGTATAAGATTGCTGTTCCCGGCTACTTTGTTTAAGAACTACTTATATTTGCACATTATTATAAAGTGAAGATTGGCCAGCATTAACTTCCTGTTTGATTTGTCAGTGGCTACATGTCGAAAACAGCCGTTTCCAAGAATTCACGGATTCTATTAATAAATAGAGTCTCCGGATGTTTACTGTTTACAGTTAATAACGTCCTTATCCGGTTAAAGTAACGTGAATCTCCCCATTTAGTATTCATATACACACTAAGTCACTTTTGATTGGTAGTTCCTAAACATATTACCTTCGCACAAAGGTTACAGGGTGTTCCGCTAAGCCGTTGATATCTCGAGCTGCATATTTCAGTGCTTTTAACGCTCTAAAACATAGAGCAACTAGCCTACCCCCCCCCCCCCTCCCAATCCCAAGTGCTGCAATCTATGTCACAGGCATTATTTTTCTCGGAATTAAAACGTAAATGCAAAACAACTCAGAATGCAAACAGTAGAGGGGACACACCTGTAAGAGAGTCGACCAGCCCAACAAACTTGTGAATGAAAAGTGACTTACTTTGTTTTGGGAGATTTACGTGAACCACGACAGGCTCCAGCATCCCACCCCTACATTGGACTGCCAGTTACATAACATTAAGAGCAGGGCTGCTAGTCAGGGCTGGCAATTTTATTTTTATCAAAGCCTAAGCTAAGCTGAGAAACCCAGGAATGATAAAAAGCACACATTTTATAGTTACGAAACGAAACATTTATCCACTTTTATATAAGGATTTCGGAGCCAGACTTTTCTTCAAAAAATGACCTTGGCTCTCAGGTCGACCCAGCCTTGAGTGGGTACCGGGTGCAGTCCCGGGAAGCAGATTCGGCCGGCGTGATGCTGACCACATCACCCACCAAGTGCCGTTGGTCTATAAAAATATAGGTCTAGCCCTATATGCATATTAAGCCTAAAGGCGTGGAAAGGGTCCTTTACTTTACCTTTACTAAAATAAGGATTTATTTATAAAAAAAAAAAAAACAACAACAGAATCTAAAATCTTAACCTATGGCATCATAAAAACCCTAGATCTTGAGCGTGTCAACCGTATGCTTTTAATGCGTGTGTATGCTAGTGCATATTCTGAGACAGCAGTCTGTCAATATTTCCGCAAGGGACTGTGATAAACATTCTGAATTTTAGTTGGCACAGGAGCGGAGCAACAATGGGGTGACCCGTTTGCTATGAAACTGAAACTTAGATTACCAAGATTACCAACACAATTCAGGCATACTGAGGCCGCCAACCCTGTCCCTTCTTCATGGTACCATGCCTTCTGCTATTGTTTTTTCCGGTCCGTCGTTGCGCTTGATATGTCCAAAATATTTCAGCTTCCGAGACAGGATGCCGTTTATTAGCCAATCTTCCTTGATGTCCAGATCTTTCAAGATGTCAGTATTTCTCCTCTTCTTTGACCAAGATATTCTGAGAATCTTTCTATAGCATTTCAGACCAATAGCCCCTATTGTCTTTCTTAAGGACTGAGAGATAGTCCACGACTCACATCCGTATGTTGCTACATAGAAGATGAATGCTATCAAAATTCTAATTTTGATCTGCTTGCTGGTGCTTAAGACTTTTAAGGCTGTTCAATCTTTGCAATGTTATGGCCATCCTCATTTTAATTTATGTCAGTCTCCTTTTTATGTATTATAAAGTCTAGATACTCAAGGTTTGTGATATTTTCAATTTCTTCATTTTTTTTTTTTTTTTGTGTGTGACAGCCACTTTTATCTGTGGACATTATTTTCGTTTTCTTTAAATTCAAAAACAGATTTTAATCTTCCCTGTGCTTTTGGACAGATAATA